TGGCAAGATGCAGATATAAAGTCCCGAATTGTTGCTCAATTGCTTAGGACATGCAGCTGAAAAATGTTAAAGTGGTAACAAAAACGCGTGTAGCCCATTAAGCTAGAGCACCTGTGAATATTATCCCATCGAACTTCATCTCACACAGGCTGGACAAAATTAAACTTCAGCCAAGATAAATGCTTTTCTATTCACATAATCATTAAGAGATGCCATAAACTTCTTAGTTGTGTCTATTTGTGCAGCTATATTCAATCGTTCTTTTACTATTCAAATGTAATAGAGTTAATATCTTGCATTCATCCAAGAGTTCAGCACTAACATATTAAAATAGAGGTGTCCTTGTGTTTGATAAGATATTAGTGTTTTAGTTGGAGTTAAGGGTACCCTGACAATGTTGAGTTCACTGGACAATTTCTATAAGGGTGCTTTTATATGCACTGACATTTATACTCTTTATCACGAACTCCCTAAGGCACTTAACTCTCTCATTTTACCCATCAATATTTCAATTTCTTTGTTCTTTTAGACTTAAAAAGATTAAAATTAGATATCTGTAAGGCCATAAGGGCAAGAGTCAAGGTCCTCAGGGAAGCGGGGGGGGGGAGGCGGAAGTGGATGGGGAAGGGAGGAGGAAGTGGATGGGGAAGGGAGAAGGGATGGGGGAGGAGGGGAAGAGGTAACAGGGAGAGAAGGGGAGAAAGCATAGTAAGACAAAGAATTGAATCAATAAGGGTAATATGAGTAGTATCATCATGTTTTTAAGCTGTGATGAGTAAGGGGATTGGTGCAAATAAGATGAACATCAACTTGCTAGCTGTTCTAACCTATCCCCCACATGAGTCACTGACCTTTTTCTCCCTAATTAAAGCTCTAAAGTCCACATTCCTCCCACATTTAAGCCTCCTTATACTTCAGAACAACCATGATTTTTAAATTACCCGCTACATCCGCTTCAAACACGTTCAAGTATAGTCCACACCACTCAATATGTTCACCACAAATTTGGTTCACAAACCCTAAACCCCTCCTTCTACGATTTCAACCTTTGAAAATCCATTTTTCCACTAACCCAAACCACCTCATGAAAGCATGAACATTCTTGTTTCTCTATACGACAAACTATCATACTTCAAAGCATGCACACCAATGGTGATTTGTGACACAAAACAGTGTCTTCCAAACCATCCTTCACTACAACAAACAAATTCGTACAGACTACAAAAATTCGGTGACACCAATTTCCTGTTAAATTTTTCGGTCGACACAAAATTTGATTGGTGAATCCTTCACACTACGGCAAACATATTGACAATGGCTAATAAGTTATTTACACTCAATATTTTAGTAACAAAAAATCTCCAACTGTGAATGGTGGGGTGAAAAAATTACCATGATAGAATCAATTCCGCAGCCAATTTTATCCTTCGATTGTGGATGATGAGCAAGAAGCCTTTCCACCACAACCTTTTCATCTTCCTCCGTCAGCTGCTCACCATCCATATACCTGCAAACCAGCAAAACCAGTCACATAACGTTCACAAAGCGAAACGACGGAGCTCCATGTCGTTGCCAAGCTAAGCTAACAGTAACCATACCTATCAGAGTGCAGAATCTCCTTGGCGAGCAAAACGACGGGCTCGATGTCGTTTAAAATCTCCCGTTCCTTATCTTTCCACTTGCAGTAGTCAGGGTCGTCCCAGCGCGGGTACTTCGGCGGCTCCTTCACGCTCAGCACTCCTCTCAGCGCGGACCCGTCCGCGGACGACAATAGGCTCTCCCGCGGCTCCTCCGCCCTAGTCGACTCGCTCGCCCCGCTACAGCACGCCCTGCCACTCCGGACCGCCAGGCGAAGGCCCAGGCGCTGATGGTGGACTCGCGCGCAGAGGAACGAAATTGTGCGCAGCAGCACCGGACTCAGAGTCGCCATTCGCGTCGTCGTCGTCATCTCATTGTTTGAGTGGCGGCAGTGTGTCGTGGATCATGGTAGTGACTGTACTAGACTAGTCTCAGTCGGTGATGATGATGACTCGGTGAGTCGTGACTGATGCGGTGGACTCAGTTTGGAAATCTGATATTTGTTTTCGGTTTTTTGGAAAATAAAAGAAAATTACAGGCCCATTATAAGGCCCAGTTGATGGAGATCAGTAGTGTGGGCAATGGATGAATTATCTGATGGGTTCATGTCCATCACGTGTATTGCTTTTTTTTAATGTTTTCTGTGTCTGTGCGTCCAACGAACTAAAAATACGTGACCCATGCTGCTTGATTTGGGTATTATTCAAATTTGAATTTTGAAGAAAACCGTGAAGAAGCTCTTTATAAATCTCACACCGGTGCTTAAGGAATTTTTTATGAAATTATAAAGTGTTGAATTTAGAGCGGTTCAGACAAATTGAGAGATAAAAGAGATTGTGTTAAGCCTTAAAATATTATTGGTCAATTGTAATTACTCTAAAGCCTGAGCCCGTCGACCTATAAAAATCAAAATAAAAGTGGGAATATAACCATGAAAGAATAACCAATTATACAAACAAACTATTAAAAAACACATATTTAAAGATGGAGGAAGAGCCATCGCAAACTAAATTTCAGATCCTATTTTTCTCTTTCAGTTAGACAAAAATATAAATCATGTATTTACCACGTTATCACCCAATGATCATGTTTATGAGTTTATAATTACATTGTCGCTGCTATTTTTGATTTACCACCCGCAGACGGCAACACACCTGAATTGTCGCTCTCCCTCCTCCACTCTCTAACTTTAAATTTAGTTTCGGTTCTGCAAGTAGACTAATCTTTAATCAACCGATAAACAGGTTTAAACTTTAAATTAAAATCAGGATCAGGGGCCCCACAAGCCAACGAGCAAAATAAAACGATCTGGTGGAGAATACCATTGTGCCATCAGCCAAACGCTGAGAAGAAGTTTCCAAAAAAAAAAAGCCTAATGCAATCGGATTTCAAGTCCGCCCCGATAACATTTCCACAGAGAGGTTGTTGCCAGTGCTCCTCTACGACGCTATCTACGGTTAACCGTGCTGACGTGGTAGAGCTCAGCCATTGATTTCCGGGTTGTTCAGTGGATGGGCCAGTCATCCTCGGCGGCCGCAAATTCAAGCCGCCGTGACAGCAACAACCACAGCCATCGATCCAAGTCCAAAGCAACGGCCGCGATCTCCCCGATGCTGCAGCCCGACGAGGAACGTTCTGAGATCGTCGACGTGGCGTCCGATTTCATCTCCGATCTTCCCGACGAGTGCTTGGCCTGCATATTCCACTCCCTCGGGTCCGGCGACCGGAAACGTTGCTCTCTGGTTTGCCGACGGTGGCTAAGGATCGAGGGACAGAACCGTCACCGTCTCTCCCTCAACGCCCAATCGGATCTCCTCCCCATCATCCCTTCCCTCTTCTCCCGCTTCGACGCCGTCACCAAGCTCGCCCTCAAATGCGACCGCAGATCCGTCAGCGTCGGCGACGAGGCGCTCGTCCTCATTTCTATGCGATGCCGTAACCTCACGCGCCTGAAGATCCGCGCGTGCCGCGAGTTGACCGATGCTGGGATGACGTCGCTCGCCAAAAACTGCAAAAGGTTGAAGAAGCTGTCGTGCGGGTCGTGCACGTTCGGAGCCAAAGGAATGAACGCAGTACTAGACAATTGCTCGGCGCTCGAAGAGTTATCTGTGAAGCGGCTCCGTGGCATCACCGACGGAGCGGCCTCGGAGCCGATCGGGCCTGGAGTGGCTGCCGCGTCGCTCAAAACGATTTGCCTGAAAGAACTCTACAATGGACAGTGCTTCGCGCCTTTGATAATGGGCGCGAAGAAACTGAGGACTCTGAAGCTCTTCAGGTGCACCGGCGATTGGGACAAACTTCTGCAAGTGATAGCCGAGCAAGTGACCTCCATGGTTGAGATCCACCTGGAAAAGCTTCAGGTCAGCGATGTAGGACTGGCCGCCATCTCCAATTGCTTGGATCTGGAGATTCTGCACCTGGTCAAGAGCCCCGAGTGGACCAATGTAGGATTGGTCTCCGTCGCCGAACGCTGCAAGCTGCTAAGGAAGCTTCACATCGACGGATGGAAGGCTAATCGAGTAGGCGACGAGGGTTTAGTCTCGGTGGCAAAGAACTGCTCTAACCTTCAGGAATTGGTGCTAATCGGTGTGAATCCGACCAAAGTGAGCTTGGAGGCATTGGCTTCCAATTGCCCCAATCTCGAAAGGTTGGCATTGTGCGAAAGCGTCACCGTGGGCGATGTGGAGATTTCGTCCATTGCGGTGAAGTGCGTGGCGTTGAAGAAGCTCTGCATAAAGAACTGCCCAGTCTCGGACATCGGCCTCGAAGCATTGGCCAGTGGTTGCCCTAACATGGTGAAAGTGAAGCTCAAGAAATGCAGAGGAGTAACAGCACAAGGAGCTGATTGGTTGAGGGCAAGTCGGCCTTTGCTGGCTGTGAATTTAGATACAGGTGAAACAATCCAAGAGGCCGCCATCGATAACTCCGATGTGGCCCACAATAACTCCGTCGAGTTCCCGCCGATGGCCATCCAACCGGCGTTTCCGGCCATTGCCTCAAGCAGTGCAGGGCGGTCGACGTCGTTTAAGTCGAGGTTAGGACTTTGGACAGGGAGGAGGGGTTTTGTGGCTTGCACTCTGAGAAGGTGGTCGTCAAGTCGGAATAATACCTAGTGTTGTTGTAATCGAACCGTACAGCTGATCCTTCATTTTTTTGCTGCATTATTTGGATTCTGACCTTTTTTATCTACTTAATTTGATGTTTGTGTGCTGTTTATTGCCTTTTTCTGAATCCAATTTTCTTATTAATTTTTTTTTTTATTAATGTGCTTTTGTGTTTCAATGATCTTGAAGCTTCCCCCTTTTAACACCATTTCTGGTTTTTCAACATTCACACGGATTTGCCCACGATTGCTTCTTTTATGTTCCATCAAATTATATATTTGATTCGCCTATGAAGTTTTCGTCTTTGTTGCGTACATATTTATCCAACCAAAACCAAAAATATTGTATTTGATGAGAAAGGCCAGTTTAGGCTATTAAATTCCAACCAGTTTGTCATTTTAAGCTATTTAATTGCAACAATCTTGCTGGTTGCTTTCTGAAGCAAGGTCTCTTCTATGTAGATGCATCAAAACCATACGCATACTGGTTTCAGGCAAGGACTCCGGGCGCTTCAGGACGACTCTTGCATCGCCCGAACGATGGAAATTTCCTTTTCTTCGACGAGGATCGTTGGGCAAAAAACAAGATTGAATATCCTATCCTTGGAACTGAAAAAAAAACAAGAGAAGCTTAGACATGAAGCAATGCTTCATCTCGTATTGGCGCAAGCCATCGTCAAGGAACAGAGCAAAAAGCCATATGGTCTAAAGCAATCACGTATAACACGAGCACTGTGTGACATGTAAAGACTAAAGTCGCAACGATAAAAGGCGCAGTTCATGTTCGTTTCGAAAAAGAAGAAAAGAAAAAGGAAAGGGGAATCTGCAACAAAACGAAAAGAAAAAGAAGTTCCAAATTTCAAATGAAAAGACTATCAGTTTGATGGATAATGTCGTCTCCTTTAAAACGAACATGTAATTGGAGGACGATCACTATTACCGTGTTTTGCTGACTTCCTTGCTGGAACTGTTGGTATCTTTATCTCAAGCTCCGGTACCTATCTTGGGCGTCAATTCTTCTACTCTGTTTTCTTCTCCTTCTCAGCACGCGGCTTTGCCTTTTGGTATATAAGTATCTGACTCAGGAGGGTGAAATTTGTCGCAATTCCAATTACGGAGCCCAACACAACTAGCAAAGGATTAAGGAGAAGCAAATGAATGAATACATATGTGCACACATCAAACTCAAAGAACTTAATAGTAACATCATTGCACTTATTTTAGCGTCTTTTTTTGGTTATGCAAACAAACACTAGTCATGATCATCTTCGATGGGGAACTTAATTTTGTCGGTCATTTAAGGGGACGAGAAAGAAAACTAGCGGTAATTAGGTTCTGATGCGCAAACCTGATAACTTGCTACTTCTACACAGACTGACTACGAATTCAAACGACTGACTACGAAAACAAGAATAACTTTTTTGCTGAGCTAATATTTCGAAAATAAATGCAACTCATGTGATAGACAAGAAAAAAGGATACCACTTTTGGGTGCTTGTTCTTGGATGCTGGTGAAAACTCTCACTGCAAAAGAAAGTTAAGAAATTTGAGAGTCGGCTGAAATATATCAATTATACTCTACGCCTATAGGCCCTTCTAATAGTTTGACTTACCCATGGAACCTGCAAAATTCATTAAGTTCGTTAAGAAGCTAAGCTCCCCTGTACTTTTATTCTGCGCAAGAAATTGTAAGCAGCATCAGAAATGTAGCTAAAACAGGTTAAGATTACCAAAAGAACTGAATGTTGATGAAGTAGGAGATTAAATGGACTGGTTACCATGCCAGAGATAGTGCAAACTCAGATTTACAACTTTGGGCAAGCAGTCTAACCATCGATGTTCACATCAATAAAGAGAACTAGACAAACATATAAATTAAATCCAACTTACAGAAAAGTTCGCCCATATCTGTGGGATCTTGGCACCAAGGAAGATTGCATGCTGGGATGCCTGTATCAGATTGTTTCCACATTACATATAGATAAAAGAAATGATTATATTCACACGTAAAAATAGCTGAGCACGAAAATGAATACAGGACAAGGCAAGAAAGAGAAGTGCTTGTAGTGCCAATAGTTTATAGGTCGGCCTGTGAAATTGGCTACTTACATATAGAGCTTCAAAGAGAACAGGATCAACTTGGCCAGCTAATACGGTTGGTGCTATGGCACAATATCTGGAAAACCATCATATTAAGGAAGAAGTTGACCACATTTTCTCACTTATACAGAATGAAAGATAAAAAGGTCGTACCCAGTGCACAAGGCTCCCACTTTACGCAGGGTCTGGGAGAGGTGAATGTAGAATGAAAGATAAGGAGAAAAAAAAAAAAAAAAAACCAAGGGTTAAGTGATTCTCAAGCAAGGATACAGTAATGCCGTGATCGCTGTTCTGGTACCCATAGGTCGGGAGTAATAATAGATAATGGCAATCAATATTAGAGCTGAAAAAGTGAAACATGACAAACTGTGTTAAATCCTGTGAGTGCCATAATTAGTTCTCCTAACGATACAAATTTGCAATCGACATGAACCCAGGGTTCACAACTCTACAGGTGAAAATCATCATCCTAATCTACAAACCCAATTTTTTTTTTTTTTTAACAAACAATATTATCTACACTAAGGGAGAGGGGGTGGGCTTAGCCTCACAATGGGCTACCAATAAAGTGGTTCAAATTCGTCTTTGGTGAGAATTGAACCTAAGACTTCTCACTTACAAGTGACGAGGAATACCATTAGACCATAATACTAAGTGGCACAAACCAGAATTATTTGTTTGCCACATAACTTAAAGTTCCTGTGACAGGTAAATCACATATGGCTAATCTGATCAAACTAACTCGCTCAACCGTCAAAATCATGTTTTTGTACCTCTATTTTCACCCTCACATCTCTATGAAGCAATCCCCGGAAATACGTTATTGACATAAAAGTACAAGAAGCCTTTGAAATACCTTGGATCAAAAGAAAGGCCAATTCCCCATAAGCTGAGAATGGAAGCCCCTTATGAAGGCAATACGCCAGAGCAATGGTGTAACCAACAACTTCAAGCTCAAAAGAGATAATACTAAGACCTCTGACACTTCCATGTTGCAAAATTTTTATTATCTGCAATCAAAGAACAAAAGCATCACACCGTGTACAATGCCAAAATGCAAATTCAAATTAGTACATAACACGATGCAACGTCTTACAATACGATATGCAGGTATTTAATTACCGGTTTCGTGTTTAACAATGAATTGGAGTGATTAAACATAAAATAGATAGCCTAGTGACTATAGGTTCAGGAAAAAAATATAAAAATCCAGAAAACTCAAATCTTTGGTTTCTTTGCTGGGAAAATGGATGTGGGTTTAGTCCAGAATCCAAATTCGGAGCATAAAACCCCTTCAAACTCATTTACCGATGGTACCCACATCACAGATCTGCCTTGTGTTCTAATAACATACAACAATTTCAACAGAGATTGTGAAAGAAAACAAAAGGCGATTGCTTTAGCAAATTAACGACGATAGCGACCTAAAGGGAAAGGCAAGAACGTGCCTGAGGGAGTTTGACGGTGGTGGAGGCGGCGACGATGGCGTAACCGAGGAGCTTGGAAACAAGGGGCAGCAAGCAATCTTTGTTGGGGAAGTGGCCGTCGCCGAGAGCCCCCAAGGCGCAGCTGAAATCGATTCCTAGGACCTTCATCGCTGCGTCAAATCAATGGAGATCCTTTGCTGTTTTATCACTCCTCCAAAACTCGAGCTTTGTATGTCGAATGGAGATCCTTTGTTATGCTATGACTTTTTTGTACCTGCACTATTTTTACCGACGCGCGTACTCCAAGCATATTATGATCTTTCTCAATCTCAAATTCGGTAATTTGCGAATAGTAATTAGTTTACAAAGTTCATATTAATTTGATTTAAGTTCGTTTTAGTTTACAAAGTTCTATATATAAAATATAAAAAAATGTGAAGTACCGATTTAGTCTCTAAATTATCACCTCAGAGAAAGTTAGGTCATTGCATTATTTTTTCGGTAAAATAAGTCCATAGATTCATTACAAATTGCTAATTTCATCTATACAATTATATTCAAAGCTATTTTATCCAATTTTTCGTCAACTTAAGTTACACGACACACTTTAGAGTGTAATACTATTATTTTCTTGTCTATAAGCCCTTAACATTTCATATAGATTGCGAATTTAATGTCTAATTTACCCTAAAAAATTAACTTACATTATTTCCTTATGAAAAACTATCAATTTATCCTCCAAAGTTAACTCTATACACTATTTCTTTATGAAAAACTACCAATCTACCCTCCAATATGTATCACATGCAAGTAACGTAACTTAAATTGACGAAAAATTGAATATAGTAGTTTCGAATATAACATTAGGGATGTAATTGGCAGAATTTTATAATTTAGGAACTAATTTTTCTGAAAAAAGTAGTTTAGGAACTTAATTTTCACTAAAGGGATAATTCATGAACTAAATTGACTGTTTATCCTAAAAAAATCATATTAATTTGGTCTAAGTTATACATTTGAAGATCAATTGTTTTGTTGAAGTACATTTGAAGAACATTAAATGATAAGTCAGTCACAATCCGCACTGGGCTCTTGAGTCCCAGGTAACTATGTCAAGATAGTGTAATGCATGGTTTAGGAAAGGACCACTTAATTTTATTGGAGCTTGTGGTGCAATTGGGAATTCCAACGGTGCTTGGCAAAATGGATTTTGTGCTAACCTTGTGTCACGGGATGACTCTTTAAGCCTTCCGCCCGTGCGGCACTTAGACTTGAATACCTCGATGAACAAGCTAAGTAAGCCTTCGAAGCCTCGCTTCCCCAGATCGAATCACGAAGAAAGCTAAGATAGCTTGGAGAATGCTAAGATCACTTAGAAGATGGGAGAAAGGAAGTTTTGTATTGAAAGTTAAGAGAGCTTTACAATTCTTGGATTCTTGGATGGTTTGGCCAAATGGCCTTACCTCCTATTTATAGGCCTAAGTCACCTCCTCAATGGAGGGTTCTAGAATCCCCTACTTACATCCAAAAATATCTAGCATAGTTCTAGATACAACTTGCCTAATCTAGATTATTCTAGGTGAGGCTTAAATATGTACACTTGTGTGGAATGTTCCGGAATGCCCTAGATTATCTTGAATGCTCCGCCACGTTCTTGATTTCTCCGGGACGTTCCAGAAGCTTCCATGAAGACATGGCTTCATGATGTCTTGGGCATTTTCTTTGTTTTTAACATATGGCCCGTGACATCCTCCCCCACTTAAGTCGTCGACGTCCTCGTCGACTCTTGCCTCTCGAATGTCTGAATCAAGTCCTTATATTGCCATAAGGACGTCTCCTTCTCCCAGGTTGCTTCGGAGTATGGTAGCCCCTTCCATTTGACAAAGTACTCCACATGCTTTGGTTGTCTTGGTCGCACCACGACACGCTTGGCTTCAATGCTCTCCACTTCTTTGTCAAATGCCTCCGTCATCAAAGGGGTGCTCGATGAGACTCACCTCGACTTGGTTCTTCATCGTCCGCGCATGATAAGGCTTCAAGTTGCTCACATGGAACACCGGGTGAAAACTTGAGGCGGGGTGGGAGTTCCACAACATACGCGGCTTTGCCAACCTTCTTGATGATAGGGAATGGTCCCTCATATTTCCGCAACAAGCTCTTGTGCAAAGCCACGAGTACTCTTGTGCTGAGACGCATTTGAGCTTCACAAAGACTTGGTCGCCCAGTTTTGGAACTCCACATTCCTTCGCTTGCGATCCGCCCATTTCTTCATCTTCTTTGAAGCCTTCTCCAAATGAGCTTGAGCAAGTTCGTGGGCTAATTGCCACTCCTTAGCAGTTTTGAAAGCGGCTGGACTATTCCCCGTGTAGCCAGTCACGACCGTGTTCGGGGTCAAGGGTTGTTGCCCTATAGCCAACTCGAACGGACTTTTCCCCGTCGACTCCCCGAACGTTGCAAGTTATAAGAGAATTGGGCAACATCAAGTAACTTAGCCCAATCTCGTTGATTGGCACTAACATAGTGCCGTAAATAAGTCTCCAACAATGCATTAACCCGCTCCGTTTGTCCATCAGTTTGGGGATGAAAAGCTGTGGAGAAGTCTAACTTCGAGCCAAGTAGTTTGAAGAGCTCATTCCAAAATCTACCCGTGAAGCGAGCATCTCGATCACTGACTATGCTTCTCGGAACTCCCCAATACTTCACCACGTGCTTTAAAACAAGCGTGCAGCTACTTCGGCTGTGCACTCCACATGTGCGGGTATGAAAGTGGCATACTTGGTGAATCTATCGACCACGACGAAGATAGATCCACATCCATCAGACTTGGGCAAATGTGTGATGAAATCCATGGTTAAACATTCCCATGGTCTTGATGGGGTGGGAAGTGGTTCCAACAGTCCTCCCGGTTGCCTTTGTTCCACTTTGTCTTGTTGGCACACAAGACAAGTCTTCACGTATGAATCTACATCATCCCGCATTTGTGGCCAATAATAAGCATCGCTCACCAAAGCCAACGTGCGGTGAGTGCCAGGATGTCCTGCCCACATTGAGTCATGGCACTCCTTAAGGATTTCTTTCCTTAAGCTTCCCCACTTTGGGACATAGATCCGCTTGCCTTTGGTGTATAGCAAGCCGTCCTCAAGCCAAAACCTTCTTGTCTTCCCATCCTTGACAAACTCCACAATGTTCTTGGCTTGGACGTCATGTGATAAACCTTCTCGGACACGGTCCAAAAGATGGCTTTGCGGCTTGAGTACCGTAGCCATTAACTCTACTCGTCTACTTAGAGCATCGGCCACCACGTTCTCATTTCCTTGCTTGTACTCTAGCTTGTAATCAAACTCCGCTAAGAACTCTTGCCACCTTGCTTGCTTAGGTGTGAGCTTTTGTTGGGTTTGAAAGTAGCTAGTGGCAACGTTGTCCGTCTTGATGATGAATGGGGTACCAAGCAAGTAATGCCTCCAAACTCTAAGGCAATGGACGATGGCGGTCATCTCCTTTTCATGGGTCGTGTACCTTTTCTCGGCATTGTTTAGCTTGCGACTTTCATAGGCTATTGGATGTCCTTCTTGCATCAACACTCCTCCTATGGCAAAGTCGGAAGCATCAGTGTGCAACTCGAATGGCTTACTAAGGTCGGGCAACCTTAGTACAGGCTCCTCCATTAGGGCCTTCTTCAACCTCTCAAAGGCCTCTTGACACCGGTTCCTCCGTCCATTCCCATGCCTTGTTCTTCTTAAGAAGGTCTGTTAAGGGTGCTGCTATGGCTGAATACCCTTTAATGAATCTTCGATAGTAGTTGGCTAGCCCCAGAAAGGATCGTAGTGTTGGTACCTTGGTCGGCGGTTCCCACTCTTGAATGGCCTTGATCTTGCCCTTTTCCATCATAAGTTTCCCCTCCTTTATCTTGTGGCCAAGAAATTCTACTTCTTTTGTGGCAAAGGAGCATTTCTCCTTTTTGACATAGAGTTCATGCTCCCGAAGGGTCTTGAACACTATGCGCAAAGTGCTTGACGTGCTCCTCCAATGTCTTGCTATAGACAACGATATCATCAATGTAAACCACGACAAACTTGTCAAGATAAGGATGGAATACCTTGTTCATCAATGTGCAGAATGTTGCGGGGGGGCATTGGTTAGACCAAAAATGGCATGACTTTATACTCGAACGCTCCATATCTGGTCACCATCGCCGTCTTCGATTCGTCTCCAGGGGCTATCCTCACTTGGTAGTATCCCGATCGAAGATCTAACTTTGTGAAGTACCTTGCTTCACCAAGTTGATCGAATAAGTCGGCGATCAACGGAAGTGGGTACTTGTTCTTGATGGTAATCTTGTTCAATGCTCTATAGTCGATGCACAACCTTAGGCTACCTTCTTTCTTGCGTTGGAACAAGACGGGTGCACCATATGGGGACTTGGAGGGTTGGATGTAGCCAGCATCAAGTAGCTCGTTGAGTTGCTTCCTCAATTTCTCCAACTCGGGTGGCGACATCCTATAAGGTGATTTGGAGGGAGGCTTAGCACCAGGCTCCAACTCAATCGCATGGTCGACCTCTTCTCCTTTGGTGGCAACTTCTTTTGGCAGTTCCTTAGGCATCACGTCCGCAAACTTCACAAGGACGTCTTCCACTTGTTTTCGGCAAAGGCCCATGCTTCTCCTCCCCTTCATTTCAACATTAGGGTTGCAAGAAATGTGGCCTCGCCTTTCTTCCAAGACTTGGCAAATTGAATTGCCGACAAGTGCTGGGTACACTTCTTGGCTTGCCTTTCCAATGGCACCAGGCAAGGTTGTTTTCCGTCGGCTAGGATACAGAAAATATTGTAGAAGGGAATGGGAAAGGCTCGTACCTTGTCCATGAACTCTAACCCAATGACTACGCCATAGTCGTCCATCTTGACTACGGTGAAGTCGATCGTTCCCTTCCATGTGCCAATGTCTACGTGCACATTACGCGCAACTCCAAAACAATGGGGGTGGCAGCGGAATTTACCGTCTTTCACGCTACCGGGCTCCTTTGTGACTCGGAGGCCAAGCCTTGTGGCTTCCTCCGACGTCATGAAGTTGTGTGTTGCTCCCGTGTCCACCAACACACGCGTCGTCTTGTCACCAGTCTTGACGTCGACGAACAATGATCCTCCCCCAACTTGAGCCTTAGGTTGTGGGAGGGTTGTCTGGATGGCATTCAGTAGACGGATGCATCCCATACTTGCATCGTTACTCTCCCTGGCCTTGTCCTCCTTGAAGGCCATGGCCTTAAGGGCCTTCTTTTGTGGGCAATCTCGCATCATGTGAGGGCCGTCGCATAGGTAACAAGTGGGTTGCCAAGACTTACCCTTGCCTTTGTCATGCTTATCGGCTTTCTTCTCCTTCGGTTTGCTTGTCTCGGCCTTGTCCTTCGGCTTGTGTTCTCCCCCACTTCTCTCATGGTTACCCCTCTTCCCCGTGGACTTGGAATCACCTTGGTGGCTTGATTTAAACTCAATCAAGGATTCGGCAGCGGCAATGGCATCAGACAATGTTTGCACGTGTCTCCTTTGTAGTTCGAGTTTTGCCCAATTTTGCAGTCCACTCATGAAGTACATGAGCTTGTCTTCCTCTAACATGTTGGGCACCTCGAATAACAAGCTCACGAAGGCGTTGACATAGTCTTTGACGCTCCCCGTTTGCTTGAGCCACCTTAGTTTCTCCTTGGCTTCATACTTGGCATTTTGGGGATAGAAGTGCAACATAAGATCTTTCTTAAATTCATCCCAAGTGGTGAGGGAGAACGTACCTTGCTCAATCTCCATGCTCCGACGACGCCACCACATAAGGGCATTGTCGGCTAAGAACATGGTTGCCGTCGAGATTTTGGACTCGTCATCTTCAAGCTTCAGGTACTTGAAGTATCGCTCCACGTTCCACACGAATGTGTCGAGCTCCTTTGCTTCCCCTCTTCCCATTATAGGATTTGGGTTTAAAGGAGTCGATTACCTTGGAGTCCAACGCCTTGATTTCCCTCGGCCCTTGCACGAATTGCTTCACAACTGCTTCTTTACAAAACGCCACATCTCCCTTAAGTTCCCTTGTGTCCTTTATCTCTTCTTGAAGCGCCACAAACCTTGCCTCTATGTTGTCAAGGTGAACCTGGACTTCCCTCCGCATCTTGTCTGCCATGGTGTTGAGGGCGCCAAGGAGCTCATCTCGTAGCCCTTCCACCAAGCCACGCAGTTCATCCTTACCATTGTCCACCATGGTTTGGATTTCCTCCTTGTCGACAACATCCTCATCAAGTCGAGTATCGAACTCGAGTATGGTTCGTTCCACCTTCTCGAGTCGCTCTTCCATGGTCTCCATCGATGCTTGCAAGTCCTTTAACTTTGGCTTGCTCTTGGCAACATCTTGGACCTCGGCAGTACGCTCCCTTAGGTCGGAGACTCCAGACACCATCTCTCCACTTGCCATATCCTACTTTCCTTCAAGTGATTCACGAGCTTGGCTCTGATACCAGCTGTCACGGGATGACTCTTTAAGCCTTCCGCCCGTGCGGCACTTAGACTTGAATACCTCGATGAACAAGCTAAGTAAGCCTTCGAAGCCTCGCTTCCCCAGATCGAATCACGAAGAAAGCTAAGATAGCTTGGAGAATGCTAAGATCACTTAGAAGATGGGAGAAAGGAAGTTTTGTATTGAAAGTTAAGAGAGCTTTACAATTCTTGGATTCTTGGATGGTTTGGCCAAATGGCCTTACCTCCTATTTATAGGCCTAAGTCACCTCCTCAATGGAGGGTTCTAGAATCCCCTACTTACATCCAAAAATATCTAGCATAGTTCTAGATACAACTTGCCTAATCTAGATTATTCTAGGTGAGGCTTAAATATGTACACTTGTGTGGAATGTTCCGGAATGCCCTAGATTATCTTGAATGCTCCGCCACGTTCTTGATTTCTCCGGGACGTTCCAGAAGCTTCCATGAAGACATGGCTTCATGATGTCTTGGGCATTTTCTTTGTTTTTAACATATGGCCCGTGACACTTGGACGTGGTGAAATTCTTCTCGAGGAAATTTGGGCCATATTCTTGGGTTTACGCTTTGCTTGGAACAAAGATATTGTTCGTTTTTTGTTAGAATATGATACTTCTCTTGTTGTAAATATGATTCTGCAAGGTTTGAGTGAGAACCATTCTCTTGGTGAATTGGTGCAGGCTTGCCGTGAGCTGTTAGACAGAGATTGAGGTTGTGAACTTCGTCATGTTTATGGAGATGAATATTGTGGCTGATGAATTGGCTAACTTTAGTTTGTCATATTCTCTTGGTCCAGTTTATTTCAATCAAGCTCCTGCCTCTCGTCGTCATTTCTTGGTGTCGGACGCTATTGAAATCTCTAGACCTCGTGATGTTATGCATTAGTTTTTCTTTATTGGGCATTTAGCCCCGTTTGTTTACCAAAAATAAATAAATAAATAGTGTAATGCATATGATAAGATTAGTGCGATCATCTTCTATCCAATCCCACATCCATCTGCGAGTGCTAAACATGGGATCGGGTAATCCAATCCTACTACTTATCCTACCCACCAAATGAGGTTCGACTCCAACTGGATTTTGACAAAATAAAACACTGTTAAAGTCGATTGAGGTCTAAAGCTGATTAAACATGCATATTGCAGTTGCAGATGAGGGGCCACTGGAAGGACAAAGTTTGGTGCAATTTATGTGATGAAAGTGGATACCAGTCAGGATTTGAGGACCACTTCAAGAAAATGGACAAAACCATTAAGGTAAAGTGAGCTGCTAAAGACTGTTTGCTCAGCTTTGAGTACAAAACAAAGGATTGCAGTTGTACACCTTCCTAATTTGCCTACACCTGGTTGGGTTTTGTATTACTAATGCTTTGATTCATGATGGGACTAATGCTTTGATTCATGATGGGAATTTGATTACGATTTTTGGGAAAATTTTGAAATGGTTGTTGCATAATCCGACTATAGAATGGATGCTCGTTCCTTATCGAAGAATGGACTTCTGAATCTCTGATGTTGTCATTAACAATCAGTTAATATCATTACTGTGACAAAATGTACTGATGTGTTATCGATATATTATTAACAATATCCGGAAATATTTGTTCTTTAATCATGCACAAAAACAATGGCGGAACAATAAACAAGGCTACCATGAGTTAAAGCCTGCGAATCAATATTTTTTGTTGGTTATGTTGAATATTGATTAATCAAATTAATCTTTGTAGCCCGTCCAAATTAAACCAAGTTACACACAACTCACATATAATAAGTGTTGTATGAGATTATACAGAGAACTATTGATTCACAGGGCAAGTTAGTAGGGGAGATTCTTAGGTTTTAGCCATCTCTAACTATATATCTTGTGTTTATCTCTTTAACGTAACTTACTAGATAACAACCGACTACAAGTCACATTGCTTTACTCCCAACCGGTTACAGTGGTAGATTTCTTGATAAGTAGGGTACTCTTCTTTATCTCCTCCTTTCTGAGTTGTAAATATCCAGGTCCCACGATGAAACAAACTCCAGAGGTCCACTGCAGAGTGGGTTTGGTTGGAGGCTAACTCCAAAATCCCAACACTCCATGTCAGCCAGTGGACATTGGTTGTTTGCTCCCAAATTTCCTCTTTTCCTTTTAATTGTGGTGGAAACAACAGCACACTCAAGCTTAACTTCACTCTAAAGCTCTCTCTCTCTCTCTCTCTCTCTCTCTCTCTCTCTCTCTCTCTCTCTCTCTCTGTGACAATGGAAACTGGACTTCCCATGTTTAATTGTCTCTTGCAGCACACGCTGAGGAACCTCTGTTCTTGTTCAGATTCTTCTTCCAATCCTTCCAAATGGGTTTATGCTGTCTTCTGGAGAATCTTGCCTCGGAACTATCCTCCCCCAAAGTAAGAAAATTTTACTACAAAAACAGAATATACGTGAAAAGCACTTTTACGAAAAGCTACTTTCATGGAACAAGTCACAGTGCTTTGGTTTTTGCAGGTGGGATTATGGAGGGAGTGCTCTTAATCGATCCAAAGGAAACAAACGGAACTGGTAAAGTGATTAACAAAGAACTGTGACAAAACAAAACCCGTGTTTATAATTCTTATGATTTTTGAGTTTTTAAGTGAATTTTCGGTTGCAGGATTCTTGTTTGGGAAGATGGGTTCTGTGATTTCTATGAATGTGAGCAAGCAGGAAGTGGGTACATCAAGGGGAGGTTTGGAGCTGATGTCTTCTTCAAAATGTCACATGAAGTCTATAATTTTGGAGAAGGGTGAGTATTTACATTCTAAAACAGAAGCGTGTTAGGTCAGTTGGTCATAGTAGTGTGCCTATCTTAGTTCATTTGAGTTTGGATTTGTATTGGCTGCAGATTAGTGGGGAAAGTAGCAGCAGAAAATAGCCACAAATGGGTGTTCAGAGATGCACCAAATGAAGGTGATCCTACCTTCATTTCCTCTTGGAATGCATCCACTGAACCTGTAAGCCAATTCACTTGCTTTTTACAGAAGTAACTGCAAAAGCATAAAGTTTTCATTTCAATTCATCCTAATTTTCCCTTTATCCACTTTTACATGCAGCAACCAAGGGCGTGGGAATTTCAATTCCAATCAGGCATACAGGTTTTGTACTTTCAAAATCTCACTGAATTAGAACTTTAAGTAACACGATTCAACGGTTCGTTATATTGAAATTTTGCAGACTATTGCAATCATTTCTGTTAGAGAAGGCATAATTCAACTTGGCTCCTTCGACAAGGTTTGTGTTCGTCTCCCTTTGTTTTCCCTTCCAATCTCATCAACATCAACTGTAGCGATTCCTGGGCTCAATTTTTAGCCATCTACACTACAAATGAAATATTTCACAATTTTATCTGCACTGGCGTAAGGAGCGACTCAATGAGTACAGGCGGCCGAAAGAGGTGGGTTAAAATCAATAGCCTTGGGTAAAGCATCAATTGATTGACTAATTGGGATTTTTCAGATATTGGAAGATCTTAATCTTGTGATCAGCATACAGAGGAAACTCAGCTACCTCCAGAGCATACCAGGAGTTTTTGCCATGCAAAGACCTTACCTACCAATCCAACATCCCTACATCCTCAAACCAAATCCTCAGATGATTGCAAACCATGATCAAACAGCTTTATCAGTCTACGAAAAGCGCCAACTGACCGGCGTGAAAAGATTGTTCAACGAAGTCCCTGATCATTCCCAAACCAAGTCCATAAACTTGGGCTGGAACACCCCACAAAATGGACTTCCAGGATCACCACCTTGGCCAATTCTTCCTCTTCTGCCCTCCATTTCTTGCAGCCTTGGAGCTCTACTGTCGAAGCTACCTTCGGTTAATATCCCATCCTATAATTCTGGTGAAGCTCCTGACAGAGACATGCTTATGAACACCATGAGCAACAGTGGCAACAATTGTGCAGACCAGATGCTGAAGATTAGTGGTGGCATTACGAAAATAGAGTCATCCTGTCACTCGTATGCAGCTAATGAAGAAAAGCACAGTTCCATGAACCCTAATTTGGGTTTAGAAAATGAGGGTTAGACTTAAATTGCTCTCGCTGAATCTTAATTAATTACAAAGTTGCAGCCCAGTTTTCTTCCAAACGCAGATGCAAGCAGGCAATACATTGCTTTGGCCAACTGGTTTATCCCACATCTACAACTCAATCTTTTTAATTATGCTCGCTTGGGCTTTTGTCATATAGCAATATATATGTAATTATTCTTTCATGCAATAATGACGTCTCCATGGTCCCCAAAACTCAACTGAAGATGAAAACTGACCAGAGATTGTCGTAGGGTTGGATCAAAGATGTTGCATGAGACATATGGTATCCTCCTCCCGACAAAATGATGGTCTACAATCCCCAATCATTCAATTTTTCTTCATCTTATTGGTCGAGTTGGATCTGTACTTGAAACCTCTTCCGACATTAAAAATTGAATATCACGAAACTTGAAACCTCTTCCAACATTAAAAATTGAATATCACGAAACTAAGAATTAGTTGGTATGTTATTAAGTGAATACGATTTTAAGAAAGCAAGTAAAAATATTACTAATGCAGCTGTGTTTAAGCCGTTCGAAATATATTCTAAACAAGTGGTCTGGCCACCTGGGTGTCATATTTATTTAGTACGACATGCTGGACATGTGGATGTGCAACTTGTCGTTTGGAAATCCCAATACAAGTGATAACTGATAAAAGGTTGGACCATTTTAGTTGGCAAATTTTAATACCAATCCAATTTGTATTACTTAACTTTAAGACGAAATGTCACTCAATATTACAGTCTAATAGTATTCCTCTTTACTTTACTTGTAAGTGAGAGGTCTTAGGTTCGATTCTCACCAAAGTCGAATTTGAACCACATTATTGCTAGCCCATTATGAGGCTAAGCCCACAATTACCCCTTAGCGTAAATAATATGTTTGTTAAAATAAAAAACTTAGAAGTGAAAAAACCTTTTGGTGAAAAAAATAAAAAACAGGGCTCATATCCAGTGTTTAAAATATCCACAAAACTGGATGAGGCACAACTTGTTTCAAAGAAGGTGCATGTATGTTCGCGAGGCTTGGCTTCTTTCTTAAAGCGCCTCAAGAAAGGCCTTTAGTCTCATGTTTCAAAGGTGTACCCACATAAAGATTTGTAAGAAAGTGGACGTCGTTGACAGCCAAGTATTTTCTGGTCTCCTCTACTTCGCTTTTGCTCAGTGTTTAAAATATCCACAAAACTATCGATATTTCAATCGAAATATCCGAAAAATCAAGGATCGATATAAGGCGGTGAAAATGCAAGCTTCACCCATATCGGTGAAATATAGGAAAATCAATGAATATCGATGATATTTATCAATTCACTACATAAAATTTACTGCAAAAACGTTGCAAATTTTGAACTTTTGAAATTTTTTTGAGAAATTTTCTCTAATTTCGACTAAATCTGATTGAGTTGATATATCCACCCTATTGCAAATTTCATAGTTTCAGTCAAAGGAAACTGATATTCATATATTTCCATAAATTTGCATATCAATATTTTACCTATTTTAAACACTGTCTATATCTAGTGAAGACTGAGATTAATTCATAGAATTTAATAGTCCATATATATCTAAATTATTTAAGAAATTTTAATATATCTAAATTATTTGTAACTTTGTTTCAAAAAAATTTATATAGATTATGGAGACATTTTACCACGTGACAATGTTCCGAATACAAAAAACAAATTTCTCCAGTAGTGAGAAGTCAGTGTTGGGGTACAGTTATTTTGATGAGCATGCATGCTAGGAACCTTGTTTAAATAGAAATTTTATACATGCAAGTAACACATCATATTTCATCTCGAGTCATTTCCAACTAAAAGAGAAAAATCATAAGGCATCAGGAGCAACCAATGTACAATTGTAACATGAAATTTTCCACAGCATTGCCAACATATCAAAAAGATACAATCGTGTTCTACACTAAACTTCACGTTAATGTCGTTCACATGTCAAAACGCGGCAAAAAGAACGCAATTATAATCTAATCATATCTCCATCGCACAAATTATCAGCACACAGAGGCCTTTCTTTGTTAATCTGCATCACAAAACTGATCAACCGTCCAAGGGCTTCGTAAAGATGCTGGAGGTGCTCCTGCATCCTGGTCATTTCTGCGTGCTTGCGAGAGCAAGAGAATTCTGCGGTCCACCAGTCAAATATGATCCTTCAGCACCAATTCTGCAACACCTTTCAGTGATGCAGCTGCCTTGAGCAGATCAGATTCCGTATGGCCTGAGGAGACGAACAATCTAATTCCTAATGGAAGACGACTTTTATCAAGTGTTGACTTTTTGGAGGCGACCACAAAGATGGAATGCTCCTTCAACAACTGCAAAACCGCAACCATTACAATTAAGAAAGTAGAGAGGCAGAAAAGGATTCAGAAAAGTGTAATTAAGGTAACCATTTACTTACACGGTTGGCAATATCTTGAAGGAGTTTGAGTTGCAGTTCACTCTTCACAGAATCTGCTTTCTCTAGTCTGAGGAAGACAATCGGGGATTCTGGACTGCTAGCGAATGAGAGGCCCTGTATACCTGACAATCCTGCACACCACATCACATCACATCACATTTCATTTCTCAATCAAGAGCATCATAATGCAAGGCAGGCAGTAAGTGATCTCACAAAGCAAAGGGATGCCAAGGAAATTGATCGAGTGATGAGTAAACCATGGCGCTGACAACTGTCCAGATACAGAATAAAGAGCAGCAAACTACATGCATGTGAATAGGAGATCAAGAACATACCTTTCCATAATATGGCAATATTTTTCTTCAGCTTTGTTATCAGACCAGGGTTTTCCTCGAGGATATCAATGGCAGTAATGGCAGCACTTGCAAGATATGGGGGCAAAGAAGCAGAAAAGACGTACCCAGAGCTACTCAATCGCTGCCAAATACCATATCCCAAAATTTTATCATTTAGAAACTTCTGATTTTTTTTGTTTAATATATGCATGTACATACAAGTGATTGAGAGCACATAATTAAGCATTCATTACAAGAGAAAGATAAGAAAGTCATTTTCTTGTTAAAAATTTCATCTATTAACAGAGACATCATATAAATGGTTAATAGTATGTATTCAGTAAACATACTTGGTGATCGGTGACTCTAGCACTTCCAGTGCAGAATCCTCCTTCTGTGGCTAATGCGTGTCCCATTGCAGCAGTAATAATATCTATTTTTTCAACCTGCAAAATCACACCACCAGAAATCACAAACAGGTAACGGATCAATAGTTATGAGAGATACAAAAAAAGAAGGGTTTCTAAAAATACCGGAATCCCGCAGTATTCAGTTAGACCTCTTCCAGATTTTCCAAGCACGCCAAATGAGTTACTCTCATCCAATAACACACGAAACTTATATTTCTCCTTCAATTCAACTATCTTGTCTAAGGGGGCTATTTGGCCAGAATTCTGCAAATTTTATTAAAAGGAGAAAAAATTCAAATAAAATCAACCTACATCTAATTGCATTCAGCTATTGAAGTTCTCAGCAAAACTGAAGATAATTTGTCAGCATGCAAGTGACAGTGTTGAATGCTGAAAAGACAGTTTGCTTTTCTATTTGCCAGTGGTTCACGTAGAGATGGAAGCTTTCCTCAAAATGTAACATGATGCCAAGACTTTAAGAAAAACCCTAAAAAAATTGCGTGAGCTGAAGTATAAGCAACCTATTTCATGAAAGTGGATGATGCTGGATTGAATCATAAAACAGCTCACAACATATAAAAAATGAATTAAATAAAATTTGATATAAGTAATAGACTGGGATACCTGGTATACAGCTTCAACTACAATGTAGCGCCGCAATTTCTTAACTCGCCCACTTTTCTTATTTGAAGTGAGTTCCTCCAGAATTTTCCTTAAATCTTCCATGTCGTTGTGCTTGAAATACTTGATTGTGCTTCTAGAAAGATGAAGACCATTTTGTATTCCCCAATGGACACCCTCATCTCTAGAAAAAGGAAAAAGAAACCGCCTTACATGTATATTCATATACAAACAGAATTTTTCATGAAATCATTTTAGCAGCATGAGGTCCATCGACACTAAGGAAGGTACAAGATCATACAATAGAAACCCAGTGGGAATAAAATTTCACTAAAAGTTATTCCATGTCATGCAAATACATCAAAGAAAAGAAGTTTACATCAGCAAAAAGGAACAAAAGTAATGAAATAAAGGGAAAAGTAAAATCATAACTTTCATGTTTACCACTTCAGTAATTTCAGAAGTCCCTTCATCGTCATTTTGAATCACAATCAATAATAACTATCAAACGAACCAAGCATTTTCTTAACATATAAAACATTTGAAACAAACCAAGTTCTACACATGAAGAAAAAACTACAGTAATTACAATGATCAAGATTATGCATACTCACACAACAATAATATCTCCTTTCTTGGCAAATGCTGGAATTGCACTGAACATGGTCGACAGTCCATAAGAATACAGAATTGAGTCGGGAGTTCCCAAAAAGTTTGCAATTCTCGCCTCACAGTCAAGGTGGACATCTGATGCAAAATAAAATGAAATAAATAAAAAAAATCAATTAATGTACGAAACAGAAAAATCAACTTTATCTCAAGTAGTCGAAGAATACCAATTGTTCCATAAAACCCACGAGGACCACATGAGCCAACACCATATTTTTCCAATGCAGAGTTACATGACTCCTGAGATCAGACACTGCTATAAATGTTCTATTTAAGAAAATATACATAAAGGAAAAAAGTATTCAGTAATACTACGTAAAGCACTGTCTTACAAGTAACTTCTCATGTCCTATCAATCCCAGATAATTTGCTGAAGCAAAGTTCACGACTTCTTTACCATTAATTATTGTATGTGGCCCTGCAGCACTGCATAAATTCTACTCATTAGTGGAATCCCTTAGAACAATGAAGGGACTGGTAAGTTTTCACCCAAAACCTTAATACAAAAAGAATAAAAAATCTGCTAAAATGATTTTTCCTACACAAAATCTTCCACAATGAGGGGAAAATGACAACACATAAGTGGGACCATTATAGAACTCCAGGTTAAACATGCAGAAGATAGCCAGAACCATTTTGTACGGGGAAAACATGCACCAATAAAAAGGAACTCGTCTAGCTTTCTCTTCAAGAAAATTGGAGAACTGAACATACAAATCAAAGAATATGTTTTGACCAGAAAAACATGGGATTAGTTTATGAACAGATTGAAATAATCTCACTAACCTTTCCAACACGGGGGGTTCATACAGCATCTCATCAGTGATAGAAGGAATAAGAGGGTCAGGAACCCATTCCTCACATAGCTCGTCCTTTTCCTACATATATCAGATAGACCAGCAAAGTCCAATTGAGAAACAAGGACACGCCTGAGATACCAACCACAACTCAAGCATATCATACTAAATTCCATTCAATGAGTCAAAAGGTTGACCCGCCAAATCTGTAAATCACATATTTATCATATAAACTCCACTAAGGAGTCCAATCTAGTCATATCAAATTACCCTCACTAGGTTAAGGTAAGAAACTGTGACAGTTTGTTTGGAAAAAAAAATGGATAATAAAAAAGTGGCATGCAAGCAAAATGGACGTTTAGTTGTTAGGCTCTACTTACCACGAAATAGTAACAAGATAGGACTTTACTGTTAAAGTGTTATATTTAAGGCTATATAACAGAGAAGATTGCATAAGAAAACACAGGTTTTGGGTTTAAGCCTCAAAGGTCTCGTAAATGATATACAACGAAAAGGAGTCAACGACTAGATAAGCCTAATCAATAAAGATGGACATCTTATCTCAAGGAATCATAAACAATAGTATCATCTATCAGATAGAGTCCTATTCAAGGAGACAAAGGGTTGCAATCTGCACCACGAACCTGCTCTGTTAAAGGCCGCCTAGGCGGTCTGTAACTGTTCTGGGAAAATAGATAAACAATGACTAAGAAAAGCAATACTTCTACAAATAAATGTCCTGCAATAAAAAGGCCAATGAAACAAAACTTTGTTAAACATAAACATTAGTTTTCGATAGCAAGCAATAAAGGAAGACAAACAATAGAGGCAGTTATTAGAATCCAGTAAGCTACCGCCAATAGGAAATCCAAAAATAACAGCTCGAGAAGAGGGAGCATCTAAAGTAGCCGTCACCCAATCTACAGTAGCATTCACTATGTCCATAACACTTGATGACATTTTACTCGATATCCCGATTCAATTCGCAAACAGGCCTCAAAAATCACTTGTCTAGAAACTCATGTACTTCCATCATAGAGACCCAGTTCCCTGCATGTAAATACCGATTATTCACGAATTACTCATCCAGTAACAAAAATTTACAGTGTTATAAACTAAAACCCTTCAAGTGTTACAATTTTTACGAGCTAAAAGCCTAAAACTAGCATTAGTAGATTCGAAACTCCGGAAATAAATCAACTTTACATATGAATATTTATTTTTTCTTAATCGTTGTCCAAGGAATCGCCAGAATTCACGGTGCTCAATGAGATCCAACAGCAAACAAAACCCTGGAGTCGCCTCCTAAAATAAATTAACCAAAAATTCGGGGCCTTTTCGGTTCGCAATTCAAAACAATTCTCAAAATCTGAGCTGTATTCTGATTAATCTAAATTATAATTCGCGTGATCTATACATACATGTATATATACACACACAGACATGTCAATGGACGGAGACAGCGAGGAGATGAGTGAAGAGTAGTACCTGATGATGATTGAGAGCGGGTGAGACGGCGGAGGTGGTGACGGTTGGGGCGACGGAGCAACGGAAGAGGAGGATTCAGATGTGGTTCTTCTTCCTCTCCCTCGCTTCTCTCTCAGATTCAGATGAAAAAGAGTGGGACGGAGTCAACCGATTTGATTATTCGTCCGCCAGACGATTTTTCCTTTTCTTTTTCTTGTGTTTTTTATTTTTTTCTTCGCTGGCGCGTACGAGTAAAAAAAAATAAAATAAAAATTAGTGATATTTATTAGAAACATAGAAATTCATAGGTTACCGACGCCATAATACCATGATTTAAATTTTTTATTTATAATTTATGGCAGTAAATTTGTATTAGTAACGTAGAATCATGACAATAAATGAGTGTAAATGGGGTAGTAATTTTGTATGGGAGCTGGATGTGTGATTGGAAGTGAGAGTGCACCTTCCTATCATAACTCGTGAATTGACGTATTTACGCTATTTGTATTTGTGACGCTGATTGGTAATATTATGTGGCGGTTGTGATCACAATTGCAGTAGAAAAATTCTCTGGTATAAATGGATATCGTGGGCTGTTATAGTTGGATTTGCCATTTGGGCCTTGGGCCTCCATTTACAACTTTACTAGTTTCTGCTTTCTCTTTCCATGCCTTGGCCCATGGCACCTTTGAAAACAATTGACTTTGGAAACTTATGGCATCAAGAAGATATGGCAACAAAATGGACCACAATTCCTAATTTCCTAGTGAAGGGAATTTTCTCCCCTCCGTATGGGTTCCCCACCTTGCATGCCGAACTCATCACATTCGCTGTTTTCAAGCTATGAGAATAAATGGCTGAGATTTGATTGTTTTAGGGCATGTGCACTTGATGAGCACAACACATGCGCGCAACGGAGAAACGCTATCTAGTGATATTGGGAAATTGAGAATCGAACTCAATACTTAAATATTCTTAATTTATTAAGCAACAAACCTTTCACAAGATTAAATTTCTATTGCCTTACAAGTTAGAGCAAACTATGTTGAATAATACAAAGATCCCAAATGCTTTTGTGATAAAAATCTTTACGCTTGTCGTAATGTGCAGGTGCTAAATTACTGATTAACACGTACCAGTCGTGCAATTTTTACAAGTCCAAGAAAAAAAAAAGTAATAAAATTGCATGACCAATCATTAAGATTTGAATGTGAATGGAAACCAGTGAGGAGGATTTGGCCATAATCCCAAAAGCCACTTAAAAATAGTTGCATAGTGCTATCCCGTACTAATTAACACCAGAATTCGATATAAAGCAAATGATGAAAAAAATGCAGAGCTCCACATGCTTTGTCTCCTCCTCCACTCCCAAGTCCCAAATGCCTTTAGAGGGCATGAAATTGCAAGTTTAATCCAAGACAAAATATGATGGGAATACAAAGCACAACTTGGATTTGCATATTCACTTTGGGAAGACGGGAGGGCCACACTAATAATTGTTTAATTTGGGAATCATATCAATCTCCCATAAATGAAACCATAATTGTACTTAATCTCACTGTTTAGTGACTAACAACTCACTGATTAGACTGCGTAAGGTAGTCCCAAATCTGTTTAATTATTTGGGGTCAATGGTTTTGTAAATTAAAAGAGAGGAGGATTGTTTGTGACCTCTGAGGATCAAAAAATTAGGGAGATTGGGATGAAAAAAAGGAGGATTGGGAATAACAGGGTGGGATGTTAAAGGTGGTGGAAGCATGTGATGCAAAAGCTCCCACATCCACATGGTAGAAAAGCACAAGGAAAAAGGTTAGGGGTGAGAAGGATGGGAATATAATAAAGAAACACACACTGCAAAATTAGGCTGCTGCAACCTATGCTATACAACAACAACGAAGTTTTATCTCACTTAGTAGGGTGAGCTGTATGAATCATAGAACGACATTGCAATTAGTTTTACGCCAAGTCTTCCGTTAACCCCAAGTATTTCATGTCTTTTCTTAGAGTCTCTTTTAAAGTCTTCCTAGGTCTTCCTCAAATATTTAAAAAATGTGTTTAGTTTCTCCAACCGTGTGACTGGCCAATTTTTCATTTCATTATTTTCTCTCATATCTATAGGGAGGTGGATTTTGTTGCTGATGCTCTTGCAACTGTTGGTCATAATGCTTTTAGTGCTTTTTGTTGGTCGAAATCTCTTCCGGAGGGAAGCTTAGTTAGCTTGGCGTTGAAATTGCTAGTGTTGGAAACTTAAGAGTACATTCGTTTTGATGGGGATGCCATGTTAGGTGCCTTGTTTAAATGTAAGTAACACATCATGTTTCATCTACAGAGTCATTCCCAAATCGGCAGGTGAGTTCAATACGAACGTGTTAAGAGTTTTTGTTACCTCAAGTTCCCTGCCTTAGTAATCAAAATGTCATTATCCATCAAAAGCAAAGTTGTTTAGACTTCAAATCCGTTATATAGTAAGGTAATTAAGCTGCCTTAATCCATTTTTTTGATGTCGATTAAGATGATTTACTGGTAGGAACATTGAGATTAAGATCACCACAGTTAATCAACAAACTGTATTAGTGGGACCTTGTTCTAGTTGCTTGGTCTGCATCCAAACCCAACGGTCGAATTCAGAAAATTGAATCATTGGGAAGTTAGGTTTGGACAGATACAGGAAACTTCAAACTTGTGTGTTGTGGTGATCATTTTATCAGCTTTTTTTTTCCATGCTTTCCTTCATTCTCACTAAAGCAGAAGTTGTAGAACTGCAGAAACAACTGCTTTTGCTTAACTTGCAGTCTACCACTTCAGAAAAAAGCACCGATGCTGCTGCTGCAAAGTGCTGAATTATATTAATATACTAAGAACTCTATTAGGTGCTTACATATTATTATTATAAAAAAATGAAATAAAAAACAAAAAACAAAACACGCTTCTATAATTCATAAGTATTTTGAGTTTTTCTACCCAGCAAGAAATATTTTTGATTGTATTAAGTTGTTTCTCATAAATCCAGAAATAGTTTAAAAAACAAAGAATGTCTTACCTAGACCTATCGGAATCGTGACAACCCAACCAATAATACGGACTAATAATTTAGCAGAAGTATATGTCCACACTGTGCCAAGGGAGTGTACTTATTTGTGTCCAAACTCCCGTCGTGCAATTCCCACAAAAATGGAAAAAATGACATTATATATCAGCTTTGGCCCACCTAAAAAAGGTTTGGCACGCTGCAGGTATGGTGGTGGTGCCATGGATTTCTGTGTAGGATAATGTAGCTAACCTCCTTTGTCTATACACTATTTATGTTTTGTATGCGTGTGTATCGGATATTTTGATCCCAATTTCCCATATTTGGTCTTTGATTTGATTAATTTAACTCAATAATACAGATATCACAATCTCAGTTTTTTTTTCCAATAAAATTAATTGCGTTTTAGAAAAAGTGAAGTGAAGTTAATTGATCATATAATGATAACTTATGAGTCATCATTCTTAGTATCGATATAAGTTGAGCCTTAAATTCTAATATTGAAAATCATGTCCAAAACCTAACATCAATTATGTATTAACGACAAATCCGCATTTTAAAACATACCGTTGATAAAATCAGCACCTACCATCAAAATCGGAATGCAAACCTTCAATACCTCTCACTTTTGACGCCATTGATGGCCCCTTCTCATCTACTTTGTAAAAGTTCTTTAAAACCATAAAAAATCAACAATGTGCATCATTATTCACTAGACTTTGGGCTGCTGAACCTGTTCGAGCACAGCCGTGCAAATGCTATATGTAGTTAACAATAAACTAAGGTCGAGAAAAAATCGTATGCAAACCAGTGTGATCTTCATAATATCTCGTTTTTGTATCTCTCATCTCATGAAATATTAAAAAAAGAAAAAAAGAATAGAACATTGAAAATGAAGAAGACTCGAACACCAGTACCTCTCTTCTCGTTTTTGTAACTCTTGTCATATGAATGTGATAAAGAAGAAGATTCGATTACAGAACCTTGGGTTAAGAAATGTTATGTGTACTATTTTAAAAGTGGGGCTTTCTATGTACTTTTTGACACCTCATATTTTTGACATATATCTTACAATATTTGCAATAAAATTAACGTTAAAATATAAGATGACAGAGAGATGTTTTGATTCAAAGAAATCCGAGTATGAAGAGGACAAGATGAGCTGTTGTTTTCAAGAAGTCACACCGGAACATGATACATTGAAGTGGCAAACTAGAAAAATATGAGTTTTTTCTTCTTCTATTAACTGCCACAAAATCTGTAAAACGTGGGACCATCATCAGCGGAGTCTATGACTGGAGAGAGTGTGGGGCCCAGCAGGGTTATGGACTCTAAAAGGCCATGTGATGTGGGAGATCACCAGCTGGCTGTGTCTAATTTGTGTGGGACTATTCTTTCCGTCCAAAAGGGCAAAAGTGAGAAATCACACCTGGACACACACTCCCTTGCGGGAAGGGTGTGCGACGAGGGACCGTTGCAATTGCGAAAGCAGGAGAAGCGGCATTTTGGGAAAGAGCGGCACAAAAGATTTCAGAGGGGAACTGTGAGAGTAGTGTGGCGCAAAGAAAAAATGGAAGTATTTTGCTCACCACCATTTATCATCGTTACGTAAGTTTGAATTTCGAGATTCGTGTACTAAATAGGAACAAATCTTAAAATTTAAACTCATCTAACAGTGATAAATAAAATGATGAGTATACACCACACTAAATGATGATGAACAACGATGCACTCTAAAAAAAAAATGACACGGGTGGTTGTCCCAGCAAGCAGTTACCCGCTCATTTCCCCAACTACCCTTCCCTCTCCTTTCTTACAGTATTTTTACTTTCTCTCTCCAACGCTCCTTCCTCCTCACAACCAGCTGAGCTGCTCAGCTTTCTCTCTACACTCTCTCTCTTCTTTTCTTTTTCATTTTTTTTTTCTGGCTCATGTGTAGTTGTCATTTAACTTTCCCGATTACTCAGAAAATGAGAACGGTTTGATACCTCTCTCTCTGCTCCTTTTTTTTGTATTGAATTCTCCATCTCTGTCTCTCTCTCCTCTGTCTGTCTTTCTCTCTCTAGCTATCTGGCTATCTTCCCCTGTAGCAATGGAAGCAGCAGGGGAGGACTGCTGCGTCAAAGTGGCGGTTCACATCCGGCCGCTCATCGGAGACGAGAAGCTTCAGGGGTGTAAAGATTGCGTCACTGTCGTCCC